ACAAAAAAGTGCTCTACTACTGAAGACTGAAACAAAYGCAAAGCACAAACTTACCCAAACACTTATTTCCGAAACCTCAGCTTTTTCTTTTGCTACATAAATCTGTTTTATTGCTATTTCCATCTCAGAATACAAGACAAATTTGTACAAAAACTGTAAACTAAACCTGCAGTCTCCTCAGAAGCACCAGACTGGATGAAAGCAGCACARGCAACAGGTCTGGTAGGATCTGTACCCAAGGCCTGCCAGACTGTAAAGAGTCCATGCAAAAATTAATATATTGCCATCTGTAGGGAAGGGACAAGCACTCAACGCTCATGCACAAAGCAGACAGCAGAGAAGCCCCTCACAGCTCTCACCCCTTGATTTTTAGGGTCAGCAATGCAATCCAAAGCGCCACCAGCAGCTGAAGCACCACAGGTCTTGCATCTTATTGCTAACCACTGTCCCCTCCACGAAAACAAGCGCCACAAAATAATTTACTACCAAAAAAGCCTTTTGCAATCATCTGGTGCCAAGTGTTAAGTCGGTTACTTGAAGATTTTTCAAGAATCCTGACCAGCTCCAGGTTCAGGAGCTGATTCAAGTCTCATTTCACACAAAGCTTAGCTGGCAGCTTCACCATGCACTGTCCACTGCCTCTTCTTCCAACACAGAGACTTGGAAATTTACTTCACTAAAAGCTTAAAGGCAGCTAAAATCATTTGTAAAGCTGCCCTATTCCAGCCTGAGCAGGCCAATTTTAAAAGGAAGACCCAGTGGCACCCTCTGCGTTCACAGGTTTTCCCAGCTAAGCTCAGTAGAATCTCTGTTAAATGTGGGCAACAGAACAACTCTTCCATCTTCAGTCATGGACAGTTCCAGTAAGACAATTTCTTTGCTATATCGAGTGGTGTTCTATTTAACAGACCTTTTAAACTGTTAAGCAAAACGAAAAACAAACCAAAAAATTTACCAAACCTGAGAAACAGAAGTGTATTTATGATTTTTAAGTTTTTAACATTTTGAAATGATTTTCTTAATGACCTTCCAAACACTACAGAATTCCGATCCACAAGACCATACGAAGAAATAAGAGTAGATTATATTCCCTCAGCAGGTTAAAGAAGAACGTGAGCAGTAGCAATAGTTAGAGAAATGCAGAAWTTTCATAGTCCTGTATTTCAGAGGACCTCATTACATCAAAAAAGGAACAACTTCAATAGTTTTCATCTGCCTTATGGATCTACTTTAAGAGTGTGCATGTGGAGGTGAAGCACTTTACTCCTCCCAAAAAGGCAGTACTCCATAGGCACCCCATATGGATGTAGAAATGCACATTTTGTTGTTCTTTCTCCCCAGGTGCTTCAAGACTTTGTAAGAGTCCCAGCTCACTTYTTAACAGACAGTAGCAGAGRTGGGTKTCCAACACTGGCAGAATTCAAACCCAAGAACATGCTGGCAKGAARAGAAACYATCAGGAAAGTGAAAATTAAGTGTTTAAGAAAACACTGTGAGAACTTGCCATGTCACTTGCATGTCACCTGACAAAGGAGATCAAAAAGGGACAAGCAGCCTACCAATCAAAAATACCAGACAGAAGGAGTAGACCCATGGGCCAGACTTGTAAAGTCAAAAAATAGGAAAAAGCCACCAAATCTACAGGCTGTTGATTTAACAGACTCACCCATGACATCAAAAAACAGACTGGGCAAAACCACAGAAAAATGCTTGTAAAACAGTCCTCTTCAACCAGGAGGGCCAAAGAGGAGAGGATAATCTAACAAGATTCAGACAGAAGACCCACACTGAAATATTYTTTGTTAGGTCCACAGAGGACGCAGAGATGCCCAGTTTCAAACTGCTCCCTTATCTGAGAGTCTCACTAAGAATTTTAGTCCTCCTCTGCTGCCTTTGCTAGTTCTGCAGCACTAATTAAATAAATCCCAGAGGTCACAAGGTAAGGATAAAATACTCAGTAATTAATCTGCTCAAATTGTATCTCAGCCTAATATTAAGAATTAAACTCGTGATGAGCTTAAGATGACATGGAGTGAGAAAACATTTCAAACGGCAAGCTATAATCAAGACCTTGCTATCATTTAGACTATACGTTTACTAGCTAAAGATTTGTCAGTGYGCTCAATAGTGTGGCTGTGAGATAACAGCCTTCCCTGAAATACTGTACATATGCGGAACAGAAAAACAAAACTTGGAGGAACAACAGAGCCGACCTTTGCTCTGAACCAAAAACATGAATCAGCAGAAACAGAGCAGTTGCTGTACTCTTAGCGTGCATCTCAGCATATTTCAAGCCGGTTGTGCTCATTACACTTCATGCTCATGCGGTCAGAGAGCAGGATTCCCCTTCTGCTCGATGGCACCAGCAGCTCTCTCCAGCACCACAGTGAACCGAAGTGGCAGAGATCCTTGGGATCCCAAAGCGTGTGCAAGGAGAAGCTAGATCAGGAGGCACTGACAGATCACATCAAAAGCTTATCTTAGTCTTGCAGATGAGTGCAGCTGATAATAAAAGACTGAGCACTCTTTAATCAGCTTTCTGAGGACAGCAAACATCCCCATCCCTAGTCTCCTTGGATCATGGGTTTCTCTCTCTGGCCTAGCACTGCTTCTGGTGCTAGCCTGGCGAACCTTCTTCCAAGCTTCCAAAATCTCCCCGTGTGGCATGTGTTAGTACCTGAAACATCTGCTCGTCAGGTTTAATGAGACTGAGGCAGTTCCAAAACAGACACTGCACAGGGTCAAGAAATTAAACCCTTAAGCTGCTGATGAGCACAGCCTCCCGCTGCCATTCRCAGGCACAATCCTAGCTCACCTGCCAGCTCTGCTCACTCATGCTCATGTCCCCAACGACCAGGAGGGACAGCAATGGTTTCCTCATCGCTTGGCTGACCAGCACCATCTCTTCCCAATAACCACATGGCATCTGCACCACAGATGGGCTTCGGGGTGAGAAGCAAGAACTACCTCTGTTCTTCCCTGGAGGAGCTGTGCCTGGGCTCTTCCGGAGCGGACTGAGAGCAGGAATCCCCTTTTCGGCTCTGCTTGCTCCTCCAAGCTCCTACCGGMGTGCTGGGGCAAGGGTTGGAAAGACCAGACAAAATGTCACATCACAAAAGAATTTTACTACCTGGCGCTGGTTTCCATGGACCTCCCTCCTGCAGATAAGCTGAGGAGAAACAGGGAAAACAATTCAAAACCCTAAGTTTTCTGGTCTGCCACTCTGAAACATATTCCTCTTTTAAGGTCTTCACAGGCCCCAACCCTGCCTCCTGCATCTCAAAAATACATARAAGGAACAAGAACCTGCTTGTCCTTCTCCCAGGTCCATGGCCCATGCAAGGACAAAGCCTATTTTCTCTTCACTGATTCCACAACAGACTCCTTGTCCTTGAAAGGGGACACAAAGTACATGCCCAGGGACAGCTGAGCAGTGGCACAGTTTGTCACCTCTGTAAGAGCAAATGCCCAYGTACCCAGGAACCACCTGGAGGACATTTCCTCCCAAGAAAGGGGAGGAGCTCAGGTGTCTACTCTTCCCTTCTCTGTTCTCCAAGGTCCTCTCTTCTCCTCTCTGCCCAGGACACACACGGATCCAAGGGGACATCCCGTCTTGGAGAAGGATGGGAGCACAGTGATATCAGCACCTCATTTTGAAGTTGAGAGGATGAAGCAAATATATGGTGTCCTTATGTCTCCCCTTCCCAACAGAGGGATATCCAAAGTTTGTGTTGTAGTGGARAGCAGTCCCATTTCAGACTACCTCCCAGGGGAGGGATGATGAAGGTCGGAAGATGACTTTCCTAGCAGAGAGGAAGAGGAGAGCARAGGCAGAAGCCAGATATCAGCCCTCTTACCCATCACTCTTTCCCAAAGGAAAGAGATCACAAGTGACAGGAAGACAAGGCACGTACAGCTGCTTGTTTCCAACGTGCTCCTCCTGAAGACAGATGTGCATATGGATGGAGAGAAGGAGGCRTGAAAGTGTTTAAGATAAATCTCCTCCACCTTTTCCTTAGGAAATGAGAAGCGTAAGTAAGGTTCTCAGCCACCTTCCTTCCCCAGGCATCCACGGATGGGAAGATTCCCCTGGATGTGCACAGAGGGGCAAGGAAGAAAGATGCCCGGTTGCCATCTCCATTGCGGATGTGTAAATGGATGCCCAATGGCCACAACCCGAAGGTGTTTGCAGGTGGGATAGGGGTCCCTACTGCCTCCTTTCCCCCMGGGCAGCCCTGTGTCCCCTCTCAAGCACACGCTGAGGGGCGTCCGTGCCACCTCCCYCATGAGCATGTCCAAGAGGCTGCTGTGCCCCCCATTCTTCCCCACACATCCCTCAGTGTCCCTAATCAGGGAGGGGGGAGCAAGGGACAGCTGGGTTGTCCCCACAAGGTGCCCAGGCCTCCAGGGAAGCAGGATTAGCGGGAAGTAAGAGGCAGTGCCAAGGAGCCCTCGTCAAGGAGCTGCCCCACTCCTGCTCTCGGGACCCTCTGGGGGTTCAGGGGTGATGGAGTCGCTCCTCATGGCACATGGGGACATGCGGAGGGGACCCAGCACCCTCCTCCAGGCCTCAGGGATGTGGGGGGTGCCCAAAGGCCCCTGCCCAACCCCAGACCATGGGTGCAAGGGGAGCCTGGTGCCCCCAACCACCTTCCATAGCTGTGCCCATGCCCCCCAACATACAAGAGACCCCTGGGGCGCCCACGCGAGGGGCACCCAGTGCCCCCACCTCAGTGTGAGGGACGTGGGCGTCCCCCTTGCACCACACACCTACCCCCACCTCCATGAGGGTGTCACCAGCCCCCTCGCACAGCGCGGTTGGGCGAGGGGCATCCCTCAGGGTGCCACATGGGGGGCACCCAGCCCCCATCTCCACCTTAGAGACAGTCTCCCCCAAACAACCCTGGGGGTCACCCACAGCCCCCCAACACCACGCGGGTGGGCGAGGCAGCCCAACGCCCCCCTCCTCCAGGTCCAGAAGCGCCCCCAGCCGCACTCACGGTTCCAGTAGACGGGGTAGCACTCGCCGCTCGCCACGTCCACCTCGTAGAGGCCGCTCCGCACGCACACGGGCTCCACGGGCGGCGCGGCGGGCGCCAGGGCGCGGAAGGCCCGCTCGAGGCGCAGCGAGTCGTAGCCGATGAAGGGCTTCCAGCTCTTGCGCTCCTCGCGGTAGAACCAGCGCACCTCCTCGGCGCCCAGCTCGCGCACCACCTCATAGCGCGCCCGCGCCGCGCCGCCCGCCGCCGCCGCCCGCGCCCGCTTCCTCTCCGGCAGCGCGAAGCCGCTGCCGCCGCTCTCGCTGCTCGCCAGCCCCGCGCCCTCGCCCTCGCTGCAGTCGCCGCCCGTGCCCGTGGAGTAGCGCGGCGAGGCGCCCGAGTCGGCCGAGTCGAACTCGCCGCCGCCGCCCTCGTCGCTGGGGCTGCGCTCCCGCGCGCCGCCCTCGGGCTCGCCCTCGGAGGACGAGGTGGAGAGAGCGGCGCGGAGCGGCACCGGC